TCCTCAATCCAAGCCGCTATCCATTACTTTACCGTGCCTCCTCCAAGACAACAGTCCGGACAATATAAATAATACAAATAGAAACAGGAAACTTTTGTTAAAAATGTAGAGTTCTGAACAGCTTCGTAATATCAGTCTTTTGATATAGTAATGAATGCTTTCTTTAAGAGGAAGAGAAGTGAGGCCACAGAGATGTGATTCTACAGTAGGATGCTGAGTATGCCATAAGCGGAACAGCGAGGAAGTTTCAAAAGAAAATGCATACAAAAAAAAACCCAAAAAGAAAAAGACCTGCTGAGAATGATAAAAACAGTTATAATTTCTGAAATACATAATGAGGAAAGGGAGCTTGGAGAATTTGACACTCTCAAGGCATATTGAAGGAAAACGGGGTAAACGGAGACAGAGAATTATTTATCTATCAGGCTTATGTAAATGGATGGCAGTAGAGTGAATGGAAGTGATAATAAAAAAAACAAACATTTCTAAGAGTTACAAAGAATAAGAAGTTGTGGAGAACCATTACCACGTCCTGAAGAGACACGGAACGTAGAAGAGGAATCCGTAAAGACCCTGTAATAAAACTGAGACAGTAATCTCGCAGACTGTTGTTGGTATAATGGCTTTCGCCTTATCTACTCTCATAAACGGATGCAAAACTAATCGATTGGGCTTGGTTCTGCGAAATATTGTTATCAGCAATTACACAGAAAGCTTTTCGTCGGAACAATTTACGAGACAGTCCGTGAAGATCCCTTGTTAAAAAAATAATAGGAACGAGAAGACGCTGCACAAGACAACAAGCAGAAAATAAAGACAAGAAAGATGTTGGAAGAAAAAACCGTAGAAGCAAGGAAAAAGGTATTTACCCAGCTTTGCTTGGCATAAGGACACCACAGAAGACCAACCAGTGGTGATAAAAGTGAAGTCTAGTAGAGGCTAGATGCAGGTCGTCTCAAAAATTATAAGCTAACATTGAAATGAAGACCACATCTTAACATCTACAGTTAACCAATAACCATTATTTCACTAGTGGAACATATTTTAAGACATATTTAAATATCAGGCGAGTATTTTAATACGATATATAAAGTATATATAGTATTCAGTCTTTTCCGTGTATATTATGGAGACAATAATCAAAATTAATTCTTGTTTGATATAATAATAATAATAATAATAATAATAATAATAAAACAAGTGTAATCGCCCAGCCATCGTTATTAGAGACCACAAACAAAAAAAGTGCCTCCTTATTGATATGCCAGTCCTTGCAGACTGCAATGTATCTATCAAAATACGCGGACCTTGAAATCGAAATCTAAAAAATGTGTCTCATGTGAACATCAAAAACTCCTGTTGTAGTTAGAGCCCTCGGATTGATTGGAAAAGATTTCATTCGGCTTATTAAAGAGATTCCTGATAGCCCACGCTTTAAAGAAATACAAAAATTGTTCTTACGAGTACAACCCACACCCCACGAAGAGTTTTATCTATGTAAAATATTTGTGTGTGTGTGTGTGTGTGTTTTTTTTAATTGCTCAGTGGAAAATGTCATAATGCTATTTCTGACCTTAGGTCTCTGGTCGCGACACGGAAAAAATGACTACACAGCAGAAAACAAAGGAAGTAAAATAATAATAATGATAATAACAATGATAATAATGATAATAATAATGCAGATTGTAATATATCTTTTAAGATGTTAAAAAAACAAAATATAAAAAACAAGAATCTTAAAATGGAAATCTAAAAAATGTGGTACATGAGGACATCAGTGGTTCCAGTTGTAATTGGAGCCCTTGGATTGATTGGAAAAGGTTCAGATAGACACATCGAAGGGATTCCTGGGAGCCCATGCCTTAAAGAAATACAAAAATTGTGCTCACAAGTACAGGTCACACATTACCAAGATCTTTATTAGTGGAATAATTACTGACCTTAGGCCTGTGATTCGGACCCGTTAGAAATGTGTATACAATAGAAATTAAAGGAAATAACAACAACAGCAATAATAATAATAATAATAATAATAATAAAATGAATATACCCGCAGACATAACAAGGTAGCGACATATGTGCATTGGAAGACATGCTAGAAGCACAAAATCGTAACCACTGAAACATGGTATAAGCACCAACCAGACACAGTTACCCAAAATAAAGATGTAACTATCCTCTGGGACATACCAAATTAAACTGACAGGGAAATAAAAGCCAACAAACCTGATATTATCATAAAAACAAGAATTTCTGGAATGTTATGCATATCAACATAGCAGTACCGTCTGAGAGAAATAACTCCATTAAAATTATCGAGGAATTGTCCAAATACAAGGACTTGGAGATCGGGATTAACAGAATGTAGGGAATGAAGACTGAGTCTGTACCAATAGTAACCGGAGCTCTGGACTGCGTGAGAAAGGGAATGGAGAATTTTACTAACAGAATTCCATGGTAACATTCATATACAAGTTGCCCAGAAAACGTTCTACTAGAA